TTTTCCTATGTTATATGAATATGAACACAAACCTTAACAAACTTTTTATAGGGATTGAAACTAAAAAATATGAAGCATATAAAATAAGAATCGTAGAGAAGAAAACAAAATGGGCATTGAAGAACTTGCAGAATCGAGCAAATCAAAACAAATTCGTGGAGAAAAGAAAATAGAATCATCGTTGGAGAATCGCGGAGAAAACAAAATTGTAAACAAAACAGAGCATCGTTGGAGAATCGTTGTTGGATAATAGTTGGAGAACCGCTGGAAAAATCTGTTCAAAATCAGTTGCAGAGCGTCGTTCAACGTTGGAGGTTCTTCCTGTTATTTGAACGAATATTGTGTTTTAGGGTTTTAGTTATTTTAATTTAGAAATAAGACCTTAGGCAGCGCTTTTTATAAAGCGATGCCTGATGTATTACCTTTAGCAGCGATTTCTAAATAAAAGTGTTTTCTGATGTATGCCCTATAGCAGCGCTTATGGCCTTAAGCCACACTTCTTAAAATCACTTTCTAAAGCAGGCCTTTTAGCAGCGTTTTGTCTCAAATTTCTTATTAGGCTATAGCAGCTCTTTCTAAAATAAGCCTTTAGTAGCGCTTTGGGCCTATAGCAGCGCTTCCTACTGTTGGGCCTATAGCAGCGCTTTGAGTTTAGGTAGCGCTTCTAGACTTTATTTTTTTAATTTCAAGTTTAATTCACTTTAGGCAGCGCTTTTTATAAAACGCTGACTAAAGTGAGGATTAGGCAGCACTTTTTCTTAACTTTAGGCAGCACTTTATTTCAAAGCGCTGTCTAATATTTATGATTTAAAATTTAAAATCTTATCCTGATATTTAGCAGCGCTTCTATAAAGCGTTGTCTAAAGTGAGGCTTAGGCAGCGCTTTTTCTTAACTTTAGGCAACGCTTTTTTCAAACGCGTTGTCTAATATATATAATTTAAAATTTAAAATTATATCATGACATATAGCAGCGCTTTGATTTACAAGCGCTGTCTAAATTGAGCTGCCTAAGCTTTATTTTGGCGTAATGTTTTAAGTCTTTTTATCGGAAGATGTATGCATATTCAGATGATGAGAAACTATTGATGCACTTCTTTCAAGAGAGCTTAACAGGTGGCCCACTCGAGTGGTACATGCAATTGGAAAGCAGTTACATTCGTATGTGGAGAGAATTAGTTGAGGCTTTTGTTATGCACTATTAATATAACATTGACATGGCTCCCACAAGAACCCAATTGCAGAATTTGTCCCAGAAGCGGGATGAGTCTTTTAAGGAGTATGCCCAGAGGTGGCGGGAGATGGCTGTGAAGGTTCAACCACCCATGTTAGAGATGGATATGGTGGAAATGTTTAGTAATACATTAAAGGCCAATACTACACAACTTGCAATACATCAGGCACTTTTGTTGAGATGGTAATGCATGGAGACAAGATTGAAGTCGGAATTAAGTTGGGGAAAATCCAAGATGTCGTTGCTTGAAATAATGCTAGTAACCTTAAAAAGTCTTTTGGTGGTCACCAAAAGAAAAAGGAGGGGGAATCCAGTGCGGTCTATTCTCAAAAAGGGAAAGGCATATATCAGGGTTCAGATCATTAGATTTATGCTGTAACAATTCCAGTTGCTGCACCTCAGTGTTGTACCCCAATTTTTTCCCTTAAGATCCCTCATCATGCATTGTACATTTTGCACATAGCATTGGTCTCATGGTTATAAGATCGAAGAGATTTGGCATTAGGGTTTCTCTCTCTGAATGGTGGTTGGTCGCTTAAAATGAAGGGTGACTAGAATCTATGGATTTAATTGATATTAAGGTACATAACATTCATTAGGTCATTTGACGCATCATCCATCATTAGTCAATAGTTTGGCTTAAGATCAAGGATTTCGAGGAATTAGGTTTGTTGAATGGCTTTAAGGCTCTTATATTCGCACCAGCTTGTTTCGGTTGATTTCTCCAACAATCATTTGTTCGAATTAGGATTTTATTTCCTGGACTTCTTTATCATCAAACTACATGGATATTCTTTCTCCTCAGCATCAGGTTGTAATCTTTCTTCAATTCTTAAGAATTATGGTTTTCTTCTGTTATGCTTCAACTGGGGGTCATTGGATTAGGGCTCGATCTTGTGGTTATCTTGGGTTTCTCCTTCTTCAACATTGTGGACTTGTTTTGAACGATTTAGTTTTTGGTTCTCATCAAATATTTGTTACTTCAATTGCAAGTTAACTTAGACTATTGAGAGAAATGACTAGTGATTTGGATTCATTGAAACTTCTAAACATGCTCAGAGTTATTATTGATTCAAGGGCTTATTAAGTTCATGACTTTGTTAACAGATGATTCAAGATAGGGTCAGGAGCTTATTTAGCTCATTTTATCAAATAAAAGATGGTTGTTTCAAATGAAAGATGACTAGAATTTATGGATCCAATTGAGATTAAAGTTCATTGACCAAGCATGACATTTGAAGTCAATTGAGTTTCGACTTGTCATGAACGCTCGAGTTACATTAAGGATCGATTTAAGATGAACATGGAATAGAAGTTTTTAATGTGATTCAAGGATAAGTCATTTAACTTTCTTAAAGGACAAGAAATATGCGAGAGATGTTACAAGGCTTGTGGATAATTTTCCGGATTTTCTTATACTCATAATATAAGTGATTCATCAATTGGCTTTGTTTAGAATTTGGATTATGTTTGAGATACAAAAAGAAGATTTTGAACTTAAGGTTAAAGAAGGGGTCGCGATTCATTCAAGATATATTTTGAGAAGATGTAAGCATAAGAGAATAAATTCATAGACAAGTGAATTAATTCAAAGTCTCTTTTCTTGATTCAACCATGGCTATTACAAAATCAAGAACTAGAACATATACACTTTCAACCATTCAAAATTACATAAAAGTGCACAATTAACACCAACAGAAACCAAAGTCCTTCTTCAAATTCAAACACTTCTTGAATACCCTCCACTTCTTCACATGTTCACTCCCTTCTTCTCTTTCAACCGTTTCCTCTCATGAAACTGCACACCCATCTTTAACCGACATCGTCTACATGGCTCCGAAACCCCACCTTCAGCTCAAGGAGCTGGGATCCAAACTCGACATTCTTCCTTCTTCTAAGGATGCTCTCGTCGAGCTCTTGAAGCAAGCTGTAACATGCCTTTCCAACATGGATTAATCACCTTCAGCTTCAGTATTAGAGTCGATGAAGCCCTTTTTAAATTCAATTGTTAAGACGGAATTGCTAAAGCACCAAGATGGAGATGTAAAACTTCTAGTAGCAACATGTGTTTGTGAGTTAACTCGAATCACTGCACCAGAAGCTCTTTACAGTGATGGTGTTCTAAAGGATATCTTTCAGTTGATTGTGAGCACTTTTAGTGGTCTGAGTGATATAAGTGGTCCATCCTTTGGCCAGGAAGTCGCTATGTTAGAGATTCTTGCAAAATATAGATCGTGTGTTATAATGTTGGTTCTTGAATGTGATGATCTGGTTAATGAGATGTTCAGTACTTTTTTTGCTGTTGCCAGAGATGATAATCCAGAAAGTGTTCTATCATCCATGTAAAATATTATGGTTGTTCTCTTAGAGGAGAGTGAGGTTGTTCACGGGAATTTTTTATCTATTCTAATGTCCACTTTAGGTCGTGAAAAAAGAGATATGTCATACAACAATGCCTAGGAACACTTGAACCTAGCATTAAACATTTTTTTCTATCATTGGTGTCAGGAGAAAGCAAGAAAGTAAATAGTCAAGTTCAGTTCCATGAAGAATTATATGATATCTGTTGTTGTGCTCCTCAAATCCTATATGGAATTCTCCCTTATGTCACAGGGGAGCTACAGACTGACCAGTTGGAGACCCGTCTGAAAGCCGTGAACTTGGTTGGAGATTTCATTGCTCTTCCTGAAATTTCCACTGCCGAGGCATTTCAGCCAATACTTTCAGATATTGTAAAGAGGCTGATTGATATAGATTTTTGGGTTCGCATGTCTGTCCTTGACCATGTAAAGAGCTTTCTTCTGTCAAATCCTCAGAGGCCTGAAGCTCCTCAAATAATCTCTTCCCTTTGTGACTGGCTTCTGGATTTTGATGAATATTTTCAAAAACAAGTGGTGGCTGTTAGCTGTGATGTAGCATGTCACACCCTACACGTAGTTCCTCTTGGAGCTGTGAAACTTGTTGCAGAACGACTTCAAGACAAATCTCAACTTGTTAAAAAGTATACCGTGGAGAGATTGGCTGAGATATACAAAGTTTTTTGTGAGAAAAGCTCTGATACCGTTAACCCCATCGGATATGAATGGATTCCAGGGAAGATCCTTAGATGTTTCTATGATAAAGATTTCATATCAGGTACAATTGAATCTATTCTGTGTGGATGGCGGTGGACGACAACAGAGGTCAACAGGCTGTGAATATTGATAAAAGTTCTATGAATAGTCAACTTCACCTGCAAGATTGGTGCACAGAAAGCAGAAAATAAATATTCTATTATGCATAATTGATAGAATGAATATGAGGAGGAGAAAAGGAACTAACTGAATCACAACTGTTTCCTAACAGCCCTGTAACCATATCCTAATGGCCCTGTTTAACAGCCCAAAACCTTTCTAACTAACTAACAGAACTCCTCAACAGAAAACAGAATTTCAATAACAAAAAAACTAATTTCTCTAATTAACATCTAACTAAATCCGAGCTCATCTCTAACCTCCCAACTGTTTCTAACAAACTTCTAGCAGAGCTATATAATAGAAGATTCAGAGAGTTACAAAAGGAGGATTCATTTTCAAGAGAAAAATTATCTAACACAGAAAATTCACAGAAAATTCACAGAAGAATCACAGAAAATTCTCTCTGAACTACCATAACTCCATCAGAATCTCACACTCTCTGGGCCTTATCACCTTCATCAACCATCAACCACCATCATTTTATTTCACCTTCATTTTTCTCCATACTTCATACCTTGTATTCATCCTTCAGATGCAAATTTTCCCTCATCTCCATGATCTTCTTCATTCTCCATTTCTAGATTCGTCACTCTTCATCCATTATCACACACATTCAATCATTCTTCACCTCCATAACTGCCACGCCATTTTCCGCAACCAGGCTCTCACCTTTAACCTTCATCATCATCAACTAATCCTCCATAATCATTTCTCAACCTTCATCATCTTCAATCACAAACATATGCTTCATCAACCGTCAACTTCAAATATTCATCTAATCACAACAATAACAACATCATCACCACAATTTCTGCACAACAAGGTATCTCTACATCAACTACACAAGATCAACAACCGAAACCACAGGAAAAAATAACCAAGAAAGGGAGAAGAAGAAGAATCGGCAGAAGTGGAACACGGTCAACAAGAGTTAGAAATCGTTTACCTGAAGTAAGCATATCGCTGATCGCAAGTTTCTTTTCAGTTTCATCTTCAAACATTCGAAGCAAGCACCTCCCATTGTAAATTGAAGGAGATGAGAGGAGATAGGTACAGAGGTAAGATTGATAGAAGAAGAAGGTGAAGGTTTGTGTCCGGCGCGAATCGCGTTCTTAGGAAGAAGGTGAAGTCGTCGTTGAATTTTAGAAGTAAAGCGCCATTGTGTTCTTGCAGCCGTAGAAGTTCAACCATCCCGTTGTGTTCTTGCATCGTATCCTCTTCTTTATTCTTTTATTGTTTTTTTTATTTATTGTTTTTTTTATATACTTGAATCAAATAATGAAAAGTGTAATAGGCTCAAACTGGAAATTTTCTTGTGTTGTTAATTAGAGTGGACCGAACCACCTTTCTCCTTAGGTCCATGTATGGCAATTTTTGGTACATCTATTGATTGAACAAAAAAGAAGCATTATGGACTATTGTTGTTAGGCCTAGAGCCCTAGTTTCATCTTTTGCTTCTACGCCTCTTTTATTCCAATTCCTCCCCTATTTCTTCGTTAGATTTAGGACTTTTTTTTGTTAATTATTCTATGATAAAATTGTAAAAAAAATCAATAAAACTTGTTAGATCTTCTTAGTTGGTTTTAGGAATTAATTATTTAGTTTTTGATAGAATTTTTCCTAACATAAAAACTAATAAAAATACATTTTTTTCTTATTTAGTTTTTTATTCATATTTTCATATCGTTGTTCCTCGTTATTTTTGTCCCGTATGTTCATTGTGCAAGGTACATTTTTGTGCTTTCGATCATGTAACATAACGGGTTGTTATGTGATCGAAGCATATTGCTTATACTCGCTTTTGATGCAACACGCCTTATTTCTCATCATTTGAGAAATTCATATCATATTATATGTTGTCTGAATGCATGTGATATTTTTTGTTAGTTTGTGCCGGAACTTCTGATTACGCGTTGCATTTGCAACATGCATTTTCTTTTATCTTAGTTAGACATTGTTTCTGACTTTGTTTGTTTCTTGGTGAAGCTTGCTCGACGCGTACTTATTTCTTATCCATTGCTTTCGTCCGCTCTTGACGATCCTCTTGCTTTTGAGGCAACATACTTTCTCCGTTAGCTCGTGCGAAGTATCCCGGATTTCCTGACCTTGGTTGCACTTTTTGCGGACGTCATTGTTCGTTTGGTATTATACTGCTTCCAAGTTATATTTCCGCATTTATCGCTTTTATAGATATCATGAGAAGTAGGAAATAAAGAGCGTGCGCTCGAAGTCGCTGTTTAAAGACCTGTAACAGGCATTCTGCACTTCATTTCTGTTATGTGTTGTGCTTGTGGTTGCTTCCTTTCTTGTTGATCGATGAGTCACTCAATTTAGAAATTGAGATCACGAATTCGCTCTCAGTGCATGCTCCCTATAGGATTTTATCGCTTTCCTTTATTTTTTATTGATCGATGAGTCACTCAATTTAGAAATTGAGATCACAACTTCGCTCTCAGTGCATGTTCCCTATAGGATACTTTGTTAGATTTTATTTGGCATGCTAGCTTAGATAGGATCCTTCATTGTATGATAACATTAGGTTAGAGATAGGTTAGTCTCCCTTAGATCTTTTCTTCCCATTTTTGCATAATTGCACTTAAAACTAAAACTTCTTTTTTCTTGTCAAATGTATAAAAAATGCTAATCATACAAAAATTCTTTTCATAATAAAAATATACCAACCAATCGATTTCTTTTCGCCATTCGGCTTTTCTCTTCTAAGAGCATGTTAGCTCATTTCCACTACAGGTTGTAAGTCTTTGAAGGTCGAGCAGTGGTGGAATGATCAAATGCAACATTGTTCATTTAAAAAATACAAACAAACAAAATATATGAGCCGAACTACGGTAGCTCTGATTCCTCAAAAAGGATACGTAGGCATTGGGGTAGGTCCCAAGCGAGTACAACTTTATTTTCCCTACATTCTTTCTCTTTTCTTTGCATGAATTCCCTCTTAGTTTATAACCCTTAAGGATTAGATTAAACACACCCTTTGATTAGAATAACGAGAGTAGATCCCGTAGAGTACTATGGACATGTGGGGTGCTAATACATTCTCCTCGCGTAATCGACTCGCTTACCCAATCTCTCGGTTGCAAGACTTTGATTTCCCCTTTAGGTTTTCTTTGATGATTTTATTTTCCCTTTCATATGGGATAAATAAATACTCGGTGGTGACTTCATTGATTTTACCGCTACACTCAGAGCCAGGCATATGCACCTAGAAAGAATAATCAACAGAAACCAAGAATACCTCCTAGAAAGTTTTATGCGCTTCCCATGACGTATGTTGAGTTATTGCCTCAGTTGCTTGAGTTGAAGTTAATTGAGCTACATACATGGAAGATCGACCCTGAGAAATTACCAGCTCACATTGATGCTAATGCTCGGTGTCATTTTCACTCTGGAGAGCAAGGGCATACTATTTAGAATTGTTATTCTTTCTACCATAATGTCCAAGACCTATTGGTCTCTCAGGCCATCAATTTTGGACCAGCACCCAACATTAGGAATCAGCCTCTACCAACCCATGGTGGAGCCACAGTCGGTGCCATCCTGGAAGATGAAAGTTTGAATTTGATTATGGATGTTAACCAACTAATTACACCTCTCTCATTTATGAAGGAGTAGTTGTTGAGTAAAGGTGTATTCTTAGGTGTGTGGGATGGACTTCGCAGTTTACTTGGACCAACCAGAGGTTTGTTCATTATTGAAGGATGCAGTCCAGGATTTGATTAACCAGGGAGTTCTGTAATTTGATCAAGCAATTGTCAAGACTAAAGTGGGTAAGGATGAATTTGATGTAATAAAAATTGATGTCAAGGAACAAACCACTCAGGTACCTGGTATAATTTTGGTTCCTACCAGAAAGCCACCTATAACCATTATCGTGCACAGACTATTACCATATGACACCAACAAAGCAATTCCTTAGTATTATGGTGGTGAATGTTATCAACAAGGGGAGAAGCTTTTTACTCAGAGGTCTGAAAGGGGTGAATCTGAAAAATAGGAGTCTGAAGTTCATGATATCATCAGTGAAAGAAAAATTACCCGTAGCTACAAGATTCTCTCTCCACCAGAACAACCTGAAAGTAGCACAGGTGCCGCAACAAAAACCAGGGGAAAGCAGATTGTTGTCAATAGTGATAAACCGGGGCAAAATCCCCTATTTCTGCTTATGCTAATGAAATGGCTAAGGATGTAGTTGAGTTTATGGGGTACATAAAGAAAAGTGACTACAAGATCATTGACCAATTGAGTCAGACACCCTCAAAGATATCCATCCTTGCTTTACTCAGGGATTCAGAATCCCATAGAAACACACTAATGAAGCTGTTGGGGACATCCTTTGTTCCTCAAGAGAGATCTATAAATCAATTTGAGGGAATTGTGAATAGCATTTCTGCAAGTAATGGGTTGGGTTTTACGAACTTTGATTTGCCTCCCGAGGGGAGGAAGCACAAAAAATCACTGAACAATTCTATGGAAATTGCAAAAACTACCTTATCCCGTGTTCTGGTTGATACAAATTCGTCTCTCAATGTATTGCTCAAGTCTGCTCTCTCGAAACATGATTATGACGGGCTTATGTTAAGGCCAAGTGATTTGATTGTTAAGGTCTTTGATGAGTCCAAGAGGATAATGTTCAGAGAGGTCGACTTGCCAATCAAGATAGGTCCTCAGGTGTTTGAAGTCACCTTTTTTGTCATGGATATTAATCCTTCCTATTGTTGTTTATTGGGTCATCCATGGATCCATTGGGCGGGTGCCGTTACATCCACTTTGCACAATTAGTTGAAATTCCTATTAAATAGGAAAGTGCTCACTGTTTGCGGCGAAGAGGATTACATTTTCAATCATCTGAAAAACTTTCGCTATGTTGAGGTAGAGGGAGAAATCCATGAGACTCCGTGTCAAGCTTTTTAGATGGTGCAGGTTGTCAGGGCTCCCCAACGGGAGGATAAGAAGCCCGAGGTCTATATGTCATCTTATCATCAGGCACAAATGATTGTTTAATCTGGTCATCCGGAAGTTTAGGGAAGAGTGTTAGATCTCCCTACTCAAATAGATAAGAAAGTTTTAGGCTTCGTGACTAGTCGAAGCATGACAACTACTACTCATTCCAAGGATCAAGGCATCCACTCACGAATTCAGTTTTTCAGCGGAGGGGTTATCCATGAAGAAGCTCATGCTTTAAGTGAAGAATATGATAGTGATTGCCAGATGGATTAATGGGTTCGTCTTATTGTGCCGGGTGAAAAGTTTGCTAACTGGTCTGCTGAGAACATCGTTGAAGTCACCCGTTATGAAGAGAAATTTTTCTTTTATTTTGTTATCATGAAATAATCCATGCGTCCTGCCTAAGACGTAGTGGACATGTTGTAAGGCCAAAATGTTTTCATTGCAAATCTATCATTAATAAAGAATGTCTTTTGCATTCAAATATTTCGCTCCTTGTTCTTCTTTTTATATTTGGCAAGATGTGAGTTTTTTTTTTTAAAATCTAAAACTAAAATAAGAATAAAAATAATCATGCCAAGAATGATCTTGCTATGGCTCTTTATGACTTTGACAATTCAACCTATCAAGCTGAAGAAGAAACTGAGGAAGATTGTGAACTTTATGAAGAGTTGCCTAGAATGTTGAGACAAGAAGAAAAGGTCATTCAACCACACCAATAGACTACAGAATTAATCAACATGTCCAATGAAGAGGTCCAGAGAGAAGTCAAGACTGGGGCAACTTTAGAGGGCAGTGTCAAGAGAAGATTGATTGAAATACTCTGTGAGTATGCGGATATCTTCGCTTGCTCTTATGAGGATATGCCTTGGCTCGATACAAATATTGTTATGCACAAACTGCATCTTAGAAAAG